AAAAAAGATGATCCAGTCCTAATTCCCCCACCTAAGCATTTGTTTATCTAATGATTTCCCTATCACTAATAGGGGCACCTTATCAGTTCCAGTCTGATTAGTACAGACAGTGATTTCCGTAAAATCACTAATCTGCCTTTTGAACTCACCCGTCAATGGCGGAAAGGTGTGAGCTGCGCTGGTTTGTTAATTTGATCAGTTTGCTACACCAATCAACTTCTCATTGACTGACTTCGGCTTATGTATACAAGTTTGCTGTTGTTTGAATCTCATGGGACCAAATTTCCTTCTCGAGGCATCGTGTGTATTTATAAGACGAATTCGTGTAACCGGTATCCAAATGATGACAACTATAACAGGGAATGGTCGGGACCGACAGGTACTTCGAGTTATGCATAATATTCGAGACACCGGCATTCGACTCATCGGGATTTGACTGTATCTTGTAGTTTCGGAGATGTAGTAAATCTGAGTAGGTAAATGGATTTCTCTTTCAAATGATCACGAAGTTACCTACACAAAGTGTTCAATTTTTAAAGACATTTACCTGAGTATGTTAATCAATTAATTTTAATTCAGATAATGGGGAAGACTACAATGAAACCTTTTCGATACATGAATTTCATACTGCTCTTGACCAGGCTCATGATACTGCTTCAGGAGCTGATAACATACATACACCATGAGGAGGTGGCTCTTCACGGGTGCCCCGCTTAAGACTAGCCACAAATCCTTTATATGTAATGGTTAAAACAGTACAAAAAAGTATATTACACAGACACGTTTATGGATGCAACACACAATGCCTCTCTGATATATGCCACATTCAGAGACACGTTTATGTCTGCCACAGACGCATTTATAGATGTCCATACCCACATCAGTTGAAAGGTGTATATGCATCCGGTCAAATCACATTACTTCAATGTTTGGAAACATTCTCAAATCGATTTCAGCTAATCTCATGCTTGGTAACTTCCAGCAATATTTCACCCCTTGAGAAACAACTCACACAAACAGTACTTCAAAGTGATCCAATCTTGTGTAACAGACGCGGTAGCTTAAACCTCTAGTCATTCATAAACCAGAAAATGTAGTGCTTGACAGTGCATGTACTTGTGTTCTTTACACAAAGGGAAAGATACGTTACTTATTAAACAATCTACCATGCATTACAATGTCATTACAAGTTCAAAACGTGACAAAGATAAATAAATGAAACTAACGTCACAGATGAGAAAAGACCCACAATGTATTCCAATAAAAGGTGTTTCAAACAGTTGCTGTCGGTACCCGATGACTGCGACCTCCAGGAATCCTTGGGTAAAGGGGCGTCATCGACATAGGTTCGCCATATGTGCGTCTCAATAGATCAGTTGTCCGTAAGGTGTCTTCCAAAATGACTGCATTGACGACATGGAATTAAGATGATTAATAGAGTTTGATTTACAAAGTGATGTCTTTTATAACCTGGTGATACATAATGATTAAGAGGGATTGATTGTGGCTGGACTTTCGGCGGGGGTTGAAGTACCATACAAGTATTGTCAACCTGATAGGGTACAGACGACCCATGTCATTCTGTATATTGTTATATCTACCATCCTTTTAAGAGTAGAATATGTTCTTTTAATGGTAGACAAAAATTTTAAATAATCACTAACATCTGATGGATGGTGTAAATCCAGCTGGGTTTCATGCAGGAAGCAAAGGCACTGTAAGTCCCCATGGTCCCTTCATAATCTACCTTCAGCTCCTGGCGATGTATATATATATATAGCACTGTGAGTCCCAATGGTCCCTAGTATGGTGATCTACCTTCAGCTGCTGCTAATACCCTTTATTAAAAAAATGGTTTAAACCAAAATAATATTTCTGGAAATCTTACTGTCCTTCGGCGACAGGATTGCATGGTACAGATATGTTTCGTTTTAATACACAGATTGTTCTCGTCAAGGTAGGGGTGACGTTAAATATATAACTAACTCACTCACTCAAAATGGTTCGGTAAGCATCATGCAAATGGTAATGGGTCATCCGTGGAGAACTTTTCAGCACTATCACATGTTCTGACACTAAGTGTAGTAAGTTTTTTGTTTTGTTTTAAACAAATAAGGTTTCTGTGGGTGACAGTATGCATGCACGTGTTTTCACACAGGGACTGTCAGATGGTGTTGAGGTCAAATGTACGAGTGAAGTCAAACACCTACCCGCCCTGTTCTGATGAAACTCCGAACACTTCTTCTATTAGCGAGTCAACCAAACCTATCAGAGAAACAGGGGCAGATACGTTACAGCAAACTACAGACACTACAACATGGAGCTCCACATATATCTCAGATGGTGGATGCATAAATATTGACTGTGCGACTGACCAAGAGCACAAGAACCAGTAACACCATACGAGCCAAAATGGCTGTCAGTGGCGCCCGATATAAATCTTTTGAACCTACCTCACATATTCCACATAAAAAAATAAAAATAAATAAATAAATAAAATAATAATTAAAAAAGCCTTTTGATGATAAGACTATATTTACAAAACCCGTTTGCGTCTTTATCAATGGCAAACATATTGGAATAGCATACTTAGGTGTAAAGAATAGCCCCATCACATCATACTACACAGACTGCAAAGAGAAAACAGCCAGGTGTACGCGGAGCACCTGTACAAGTGCCGACAAAGTTAATGAATCATTTACCCGTGCTGTGCTGTCGCTAACCTTCTTGCACACCTTTCTGGTGTCCCTCGCCGTGATGTTGCTGGAATATTGCTAAAAGCGGCGTAAAACCAAACTCAGTCAGTCAGTCAGTCTTGCACACCTGGCTGTTCCTCTCTTTGCACCCCTCCCTCGTAACAAATAGTAAACTGTGTCAAAATTTTAATGATAGTTTGTTAAACAAATTTTTGTTTTCTTTAGGACATAAATTTTGCAAATAAATCACAGAGTTGGTCTGATGTTTTGATTATGATCAATGTTTCATTGAGTATTATATGTTTAGTAGTTTTCGAGTAAGATTCATCGGAGCCAAACGGATTATATGGAACATGCTGTGGTACAGACAGTCATCACAACTGACGACAAAGTCAACATCTCTTTTTAAGATACTAAACAGTGCAAACTTATTGGCAAGGTTCATTCGTTAGGTTCTCTTGAGTAGCCGTTATCTATATTGGATGATCGCTGAACAGTTGTTCGCGCAATGGTCCATATATATTTGTTTGATATTTGATCAAAGATGCATGAACCACAAATGAATATTTATTTGCGGCGTTGGAATTTCTGAAACTGTTAGTCACGAATGAACGCGACAGGGAATGCACGACAAGAAATGAACGAGAATGCATGAACGTCACAGGAATGCACATCAAGAAATGAACGTCACAGGGAATGCACGACAAGAAATGAACGTCACAGGGAATGCACGACAAGAAATGAACGTCACAGGGAATGCACATCAAGAAATGAAACGGGAATCACAGGGAATGCACATCAAGAAATGAACGTCACAGGGAATGCACGACAAGAATGAACGTCACAGGAATGCACGACAAGAAATGAACGTCACAGGGAATGCACATCAAGAAATGAACGGGAATGCACGACAAGAAATGAACGTCACAGAATGCATGAACGTCACAGGGAATGCACAGAAATGAACGTCACAGGAATGCACGACAAGAAATGAACGTCACAGGGCAATGCACATCACAAGAAATGAACGTCACAGGGAATGCACGACAAGAAATGAACGTCACAGGGAATGCACGACAAGAAATGAACGCGACAGGGAATGCACATCAAGAAATGAACGTCACAGGGAATGCACGACAAGAAATGAACGCGACAGGGAATGCACATCAAGAAATGAACGTCACAGGGAATGCACGACAAGAAATGAACGTCACAGGGAATGCACGACAAGAAATGAACGCGACAGGGAATGCACGACAAGAAATGAACGTCACAGGGAATGCACATCAAGAAATGAACGTCACAGGAATGCACGCGACAAAGAAATGAACGTCACAGGGAATGCACGACAAGAAATGAACGTCACAGGAATGCACACAAGAAATGAACGTCACAGGAATGCACGACAAGAAATGAACGTCACAGGAATGCACATCAAGAAATGAACGTCACAGGAATGCATGAACGTCACAGGGAATGCACATCAAGAAATGAACGTCACAGGGAATGCACATCAAGAAATGAACGTCACAGGGAATGCACATCAAGAAATGAACGTCACAGGGAATGCACATCAAGAAATGAACGTCACAGGGAATGCACGACAAGAAATGAACGTCACAGGGAATGCACGACAAGAAATGAACGTCACAGGGAATGCACATCAAGAAATGAACGTCACAGGGAATGCACGACAAGAAATGAACGTCACAGGGAATGCACGACAAGAAATGAATAGACCAACGTCATCAATGAAAAAATCCCAGGACAGTAAATCGATGTTCACTAGCAAGATAATTATGTGCCTGTCCAAGTAGGAGCTGATTAGGAGACTCAATATGTCGCTCCAATCAGAACATACATGTTTCCCCCTAGCGAGGATACTTACTGCCTGTGATTGACAGCCGGGGGGGAGACTGAATCTGTCTGTACAATAAGAACAAACCTGTTTCCCCTAGCGATGATACTTAGTGACTGTGATTGACAGCCGGGCGGGAGACTGAATCTGTCTGTACAATAACAACATACCTGTTTCCCCTAGCGAGGATACTTACTGCCTGTGATTGACAGCCGGGTAGGAGATTCAATATGTCTGGCCAATCAGAACATACATGTTTCCCCTAGCGAGGATACTTAGTGACTGTGATTGACAGCCGGGTAGGAGACTGAATCTGTCTGTACAATAAGAACATACCTGTTTCCCCTAGCGAGGATACTTACTGCCTGTGATTGACAGCTTACTGTGATGCAGGGTAGGAGACTGAATCTGTCTGTACAATAAGAACATACCTGTTTCCCCTAGCGAGGATACTTAGTGCCTGTGATTGACAGCAAGGTGCAGAAACGCCACTGCATGTAGCCGGAGTGAGGTCCTGTCGACGTGTCAGCTGAAACTTCCTACAGACATGTTTGACCGCTACTGGACAGTGTGGGCAGCTGCCGTCTGTATGTTTATAGCATCCGGGCAGGGTCTGGCTGACACTGAATGCTATGTGCATGAATTTCAGTCTCCATTCGGCGAGTATCAGGGGAAGAAGGTCAACGTCGGAATAAGACAGCGTTGCACTGTGACAAGTCTGCTGAAGTGCCTCTCTTGTTGTAACCGTGTTGCCATCAGTAATGTGTTCTTCAACCAGGGCACCCAGGACTGCATCTGTCCTCTGGCACACCCTCGATCCTGGCTACTTGTCAATGCACCGGGTTACGTCTACTACAACTCACCAGGTGAGACTATCACAAGTTTATCCTTCCTTTATGAGTTTTGCGAGTAAACACATTGATCTTTACAATCTCTATAAGTTAAATAAAAACAAGTCGATTCGATGAGCATTGTTTTCTTTTGATTTAGTCAAAAACATTCGGCTTGATAAATGCGTTATCACATCGTGTCTCGGGAAATACGGGGTTTTATCAGTCCCGAGTAAGGTTGTATTCCCCGAGCTGGAGAAAACAATACGCATCGAATCGACTTGCTTTGTGAGAAGCCATGTTGACAACAGCTGATTGATTGACCTCAATGCAGCGCACGTTACTAAATAATACATAATACATTACTGAATAAACAATCGAACTAAAGGCTTGGCGATACACGCTTTTCTCACTTCGCGTGGTCACCGAGGCGTGGCGTGATAATATGACCTTTGTACTCACTGCTCGCGGATCTTGACGGGTGTACATTGTATTTCATCAGATAGTGGGGCGATAAAGGCAAAAACTGTGCACTTTGGGTTAAAAACACCAAACTTGGCACACTTATATATTGAACCATTCCGAACATTTCTGGATATGGATCCACCACAGCAGTGCCCTCTACTGGCAGAAAGTCCAAGATGGCCGCCATTTCGACTAAAATGCAATCAATGTTCCATATATCATAATTATCTTGTCAAATTTCGTATTTCATAGAGGATTAATTGGAACAGCGAGGTACATATTCCCAATTTATTACACAGCGCCACCTGGTGGTGATGAAAATCCAAGATGGCCACCAAAATATTCAGAAATTGCATTGTTATACTGCTGTTATTTGATGATATTTAGATATATTTAATATTGTGAAAAAGACATTTTGAATAGCAACAAATGAATGTATATATTTGTGGGCTCTTGCGTATGATCTGTAGGTATTATGCTTCAGAATGTAAGAACTATTCCTGTTAGTATTTTACAAATACAAAGTTTCAGAGAACAATTTAATGCAGACACCTTTCAGTACTTATTTGCAAGTAAACGATTCCGTTGTATTATTAGTGAGTGAGTGAGTTTAGTTCAACGCCACACGCAATATTCCAGATATATGGCTTCGGTCAGTAAATAATCATGTCTGGACCAGACAATCCAGTGATCAACAGCGTGGGCATCGGTCATGTATTACTCTTTTGATTTGCGCTTGTACGCTTTTAATTTTGTTTTTATGTTTTTCATAACCAGCAATGTATATTATATGTCATGAATAAGTGATAATTGTGTTTTGATAATGTTTGATTTTTTGGTTGCATGTGACCTTTAAAGGAGAATACGAACGAAAACAAAACTTTTGATATATTGTAATGGATATTCTAAAAGTCACATTCCGTGATTAAAATTGAACAAGATGTTTGTAAATAGCAATACAAAACACAAACGTACTCATATGTCCGCTTAAAACGGAAACACCCGACAGTTAATGAGCAGAGGGGGTATCACGTGACATGACGTAATAAGTGCCTTTTGCTAATGGCTTCCTCTTTGCTTTACCTCACAACTTAACAGTGGATTCTGAAGCATTAAAAGATGTTGCTGATGTCATTTCTGATATGGATGTTAGACCGTATCAATACGATCCGATTTTACATCTTGCAAAACAATCTTCCACTTAAGATGAAGAAGAAGAATCAAGGGAAACGGAGGCAGTTCCAACCAGCAAACCCAGCCCTATAGATACATGACCAGTCACTAAGAATTATGTTTTTTTAAATGTGATCGCATTTCCTTTTGTGACTGTAGGGTGTCTGGGATTTTAAAACAAAATATATATGCTTCAGACGGGGGAACATAGAAATTATCTGCTACAAACATTACATTGGAATTATTTTGTTCAGTATTCTAGTTCTCAGATAAGTTATTCCCCGAAAACCAATGAATTATAAAACACTATTCAGGACAGTGTAGTATGTTTCCAAGTGTTTGGTTACGGAAATAGTTATGGTGCTCGGTCATAGACTTAGAATGACATCGTGTCAGCCAATTAGAATACAGAACAACTTTCACGGCACACACTACTGACAATAGCGAGTCTGATGCCGACATGCGTAATTGGACGAAATGGAAAACAATGAAAGCAACGAGTATGCTTTGATTGTGATTTGCCGTTGTATTGGGCAATGTTTCGGGTAGTCTGCAGCATTTAGAGCTCCAAACCGAAAAGAACGTAAAGCGAAACATGTTCAAGCTCATGACAAATGTGGTCATTCATTCTAATTTGGTCAAATTTGTTTAAAATGATTAAATATATGCCGTAAATGCAGAGTTTTTGTCAATTTTGATATTATGCCCTCCATATAAAAGTTATTACGAAGTGATATTTCTGAAAAATGTTCCATTAGTAAACTCATAACTATGTATATACTTTTATATGAAGAACATAATATCAAAGTTGATAAAGCTATCATTATTATACATTTATTCATTTTAAATAAATTGGGGGCATTTTGACTACCCCACTGGGACAATTTGACCAAATTTGCTGGGTCATTTTGTAGCGGGGGCAATTCGACTGGCAACCGGACTTAATTTAATTTATGTTAAAATACCACTGACAGTAAGTTGTTACAGGGAATGATGGATTATAAATGAATCTCGTGGATACTTTTCCTTCTTCAGCCTAGCTTGGGATTTCCATACCCCATGCGTGCATCTTCATATGCGTCCGACTCAGAATGATCGGCGCATTTCCCCTGCCGAAATCTGTCATTTCACTTGGAAAACGGAAGAAATGGTGGTGCCGTGCATACCCAGGCAACGCAATACACCATCGTTCCATGTAAAAGAACAACAGAAACAACACGATTTGTACTACTGTAGCGCTTGGTCTTTGGCAATATGGCGGACTCCAGGCACATTTGACGTCACGAGCGGAAAGGTCACGTGGGTTCCAACGAAATGTGCATAATGGCCGAAGCTGAGATTTACAGAAACTGTTTTCGCGATTAAAACATAATTATACATAATTTTTAATTGAAAATTTGGGAATATGTTTCTGATGACGTTATCTTTCATCCAGCAAATTATTGCAATTCACTCGTATTCTCCGTTAACATGCAGTGATTCTCAGACAGTGAGGTGAAGCAACCTTCTAGCATGGTGGTCAGGTACAGACTGATGTGCATGCTTTTTTAACCATGTGCTTTCTTAGAGAGGTCATGTGATAAACACGTGCTAGAAATGAGGCTAATTTAAATACAGTACTAGTATGTATATTAGCTAACTTGGTTCCAATGTTTAGTTGGTGTATGTGGAGTTTGAACCTGCCCACTTTGGGCTACAAATCTACAGCCCTAACCATTATCCCATTGAGTTAAGGGAATTGAATGTGTAATTTTAATAAACTTAAGTTTAAGATTAAGTTTAAACGTTAAACCATGTTAGCACATATAATTTCATGGAATGAAAAAACATGCAACATTGCATTTACAATTACTGTCTCTCTCTAAATATATTTTCTAACATCTATGTCGAGCATGCTCCACTTTATAATGATTGTACTTTGTTGTAACTTACCTGTCCCCGTTTTTCTGACAGAGTTGGTTGACATGCAGATACAAGAAGTGTTAGGAGTTTCGTCAACACGTGACGGGTAGGTGTTTGTTTTACCTCCTAGATTTGAATTAGATCTTATCTGAAATGCCTGGTGTGGATCACCTGATATCAGTATTCCAAAACACACCTGTCAGAGTTTGAACACATCGAGTCAACCATATGTTTTAGCCAGCTTACGGGAAGTTCTGAGCTGGAGTGTAAAGAGCTGGTATAAAGGCCGTTTTGTCACACTCACCTACGAAACACATGCATGTCAGCAGACACACGTGTTGTCACACTCACCCACGGAATACCTGCATGTAAGCAGACATTCGTGTTTTCACACTCACCCAAGGAATACCTGTATGTCAGCAGACACGTGTCACACTCACCCACGGAACACCTGCATGTCAGCATACACACGTGTTGTCACACTCACCCAAGGAATACCTGCATGTCAGCAGACACAGAAGCTGTCACGCTCACCCACGGAACACCTGCATGTCAGCAGACACACCTGTTGTCACACTCACCCACGGAACACCTGCATGTCAGCAGACACACGTGTTGTCACACTCACCCAAGGAATACCTGTATGTCAGCAGACACACGTGTGTCACACTCACCCACGGAACACCTGTATGTCTACAGACACACGTGTTGTCACACTCAGCCACGGAACACCTGTATGTCAGCAGACACACGTGTTGTCACACTCACCCACGGAATACCTGCATGTCAGCAGACACACGTGTGCTCACTCTCACCAACCTAACACCTGCATGCCAGCAGACACACGAGTTGTCACACTCACCCACCTAACACCTGCATGTCAGCAGACACACGTGTTGTCACACTCACCCACGGAACACCTGTATGTCTGCAGACACACGTGTTGTCACACTCAGCCACGGAACACCTGTATGTCAGCAGACACACGTGTTGTCACACTCAGCCACGGAATACCTGCATGTTATATACTACTACACCTGTATGTCAGCAGACACAGGTGTTGTCACACTCACCCACGGAACACCTGTATGTCAGCAGACACAGGTGTTGTCACACTCACCCACGGAACACCTGCATGTCAGCAGACACACGTGTTGACACACTCACTCACGGAACACCTGCATGTCAATAGACACACATGTTGTCAAACTCACCCACCTTACACCTGCATGTCAGCAGACACAGGTGTTGTCACATTCATCCACGGAACACCTGCAAGTCAGCAATCGTGTTGACACGTTGGTTGATAGTGGTGACCCCTGGGTTACGGCTCGATTGAAATCAACTTAAGTAACTAACGGGGGCTGACGAACCTGGGCTGTTTCTGACCAGGTGTCCTTGTACCTGGAAATGTTGACACAGTTAACACACCTAGTGGGAGTCCAGCATACACAGGGTCTCACGGGTCATCATGGCGTCGACATTTAGGCCACTATTGTACACAGTTAACACACCTAGCTACAGGGAGTCCAGCATACACAGGGTCTCACGGGTCATCATGGCGTCGACATTTAGGCCACTATTGTACACAGTTAACACACCTAGCTACAGGGAGTCCAGCATACACAGGGTCTCACGGGTCATCATGGCGTCGACATTTAGGCCACTATTGTACACAGTTAACACACCTAGCTACAGGGAGTCCAGCATACACAGGGTCTCACGGGTCATCATGGCGTCGACATTTAGGCCACCATTGTACACAGTTAACACACCTAGGTACAGGGAGGCCAGCATACACAGGGTTTCACGGGTCATCATGGCGTCGACATTTAGGCCAATATTGTACACAGTTAACACACCTAGGTACAGGGAGTCCAGCATACACAGGGCCTCACGGGTCATCATGGCGTCGACATTTAGGCCACTATTGTACACAGTTAACACACCTAGCTACAGGGAGTCCAGCATACACAGGGTCTCACGGGTCATCATGGCGTCGACATTTAGGCCACTATTGTACACAGTTAACACACCTAGGTACAGGGAGTCCAGTATACACAAGGTCTCACGGGTCATCATGGCGTCGACATTTAGGCCACTACTGTACACAGTTAACACACCTAGGTACAGGGAGTCCAGCATACACAGGGTCTCACGGGTCATCATGGCGTCAACAATTAGTCCACTACTGTACACAGTTAACACACCTAGGTACAGGGGTCCAGCATACACAGGGTCCAGGGTCATCATTGCGTCGACATTTAGGTCTCACGGTACAGGAGTCATCACAGGGTCTCACGGGTCATCATGGCGTCGACATTTAGGCCATTATTGTACACAGTTAACACACCTAGCTACAGGGAGGCCAGCATACACAGGGTCTCACAGGTCACCATGGCGTCGACATTTAGGCCACTATTGTACACAGTTAACACACCTAGGTACAGGGAGTCCAGCATACACAGGGTCTCACGGGTCATCATGGCGTCGACATTTAGGCCACTATTGGACGAAAACTTAATGCTGCCAATTATGTAGCAAAACGTTTTTGGCCAGCGAAAGTTCTTCCCGTTTCTTCGAATATGTTGTTGTTACATGAAGTTTCCTTGAACAAAAACTGTTTTCGTTTTCGTATATAGATTTGAGTATTTTCTCATTACTTCGATTAATTAAAAGGCTGATTTGTAACATCGCGCAGCGCTCTGAATACTATGTCATGCCTTATGGCGACGAAGCGATAGTGCGACACGATATCGTGACACATTGGTAAAGCCTAAAACGAAATGCTGATAGTACAACCCGAATTATAGTAAGGTCGTTTACCTGACGAGTCTCGTGTCATCACTATCTCATAGCCCCATGAGCTTTTGAGGTCTGCATGATCATTTTTAATTATCAAACTTTGGAAGTTAATATCAAACTTCAATATGAGTACGCATTTGTCAATGCAACAATGAAGCTCACATTTCCCAAGTCTATATAGTTAGGATCGCTTTATCACGTTTAATATTTCAGTTTTCCAGAAACGAATGCCATTGGAGGATCTGCTGCTGCCTGGAAACCAAGGTTGGATGATGCAGATCCCTGGATTGAGGTGAATCTGCTCGTTAGCATTATCTATCCTTCGAGAACTCTCTCTTTATATATGTGTGTGTGTTTATATACAGAGCACTCCGGCCATCACTGCCAAATATATCCTGTTTGCTATGTATGCTTTGTTCCGTCTCCTCAACAGTTTAAGGAAAAGCATGCTGAATATGCGGACCTCGCCTTTGAAATGTCTTGCTTGTATCTCAGGCTCCCCATGTATCAGGAGAGTGAGTGACTGTGTGCGTTTAAAGTTTAATGTCAGTTTGGAGATATTTCGGCCATATCGTGATTAAAACAGTACATCAGGAGATTGCCCTTGGTTTGGTACTTCCTGATCTCTTGGCGCAGATCAGGGGTGTTCCTGGGTTTCCATCGGGAGCACATCCCTTCTGACACTCTGGGTAATGCAGAAGGCTGCACAGTTGGTGAGTCTTCATATTCTCCAGAAAGTTCTTGTGGGTTCGACTCGGCAACGCTTCCTGATAGAAGCAGTCTGGGCTGTGTGTTGAAGGTGCAGCTCACCTGACTATGTTAGGATCACCCGCGCCCTCTGTGTTGCATTTTCACGTCAGTCTGTAAAAAAATATAGTAAGAACATGAATAGTGGGCTGAGTCCCGCACCAAGGAGGGGCACGCTCAAAGTGCTAACATTAAAAAGGAAAAAAAAGAAATTAAGTAGATATATACACCTGTGCAACTGAAAAGGGAAGATTTTGATAGCGAAGAAACAAGTTGGTGTTAAGTATGGACTTGGAGACTTGCAAGGTAGGGGTTAACTTCAAGTTAACGGAAAGCGAGTTCCACAGTGTGGCTGCTGTATAGGAGAAGGTTCTGGCCTTGGTAATATAAGCAGCCATCTGACTCTCGAGCAGAATGTTGAAGTGTTTCATGAGTTGTGAAGCGTCTGCGTAAAAGTAATGAGCAACTTGTTGACCTGTGATAAGATGTTTTAACGGCCTTGTGTAAAGGGTGAACAAAATCGGCCCAAGCACTGAACCCTGTGGAACCCAAAACTCGATAGTAAGACGTTCAGAAAGAACTTTGTCAATCTGAAAAGACTGTGATCTGTCAGTCAGGGAGGATGAGCACCACTGCAAGACAGTATTGGATAAGCAAAAACGTTTCAAATGACTCAGAAGCAAGGTGTGGTCATTTGTGTCGACAGCTACGGATATGTCGAGCAAGGCAAGCATAGACACACATATAGACACACAACAACATTTCCCCTGTCAACAGAATCACGTATCTTGTATATACACAGCTAAGGACAATCTCGGTGCTATTTGCTGGCCGATATGCGGACTGGTGTTTGTCAAATAAGTCATGCTTTTGCAAATGGTCAATCAGTTGCATCATGACGACTTTTTCAAGAAGTTTTGACACAAATGATAAATTTGACACGACTAACACAGTTGGCTACCTGCAATCGTTACTGCATTATCACCAATATCCATTGTTGTTGTCAATCCCTTTCACACACCCTCATGTTGTCTTACTTAATCCCTGTTACATGTACATAAGTCGGTTCTGTGGTGTATTACTTTACTCTTGTTTGACAACGGTATGAGAAAATATACCGAAACGTCGCATCCTAATATAATAAAGAAGTTGTTATCCATAAAGTATCATACCTTTCTTGTACATGTCGTTTGCTGTTCTCTCCACTTTGTCTGGTCTTTTATAACAGACCATACACGTACAAGCAGTTTCTGTAATGTGTGCTTGTCGGTAGTGACACATTCAAAATATCCCACCGTATTGTCGCCAACAGTTTGGGGTGCGTCGCTCTCTGTATCTTGTTGAACTTCGAATCCACAAGGACATGTCTTCCGTCACGACGAGTGTCTGGCTCAGGGATGGCAGTGGGCTCTGGATCAAAACGTGGACGAGAGGCGACGGGGGGTCAGCTCAGTCTGATTGGTTTTTTCCACACTTTCGAGTGAGTTTTTCCTTATGAAACTTTTACCATGCTTTATTGGTGGGTGTGAATCACAAAACAAAACACCAAGCATTTTTGGATTTTACTAATACGATTTATCAGAATGTAGTATGCTTACAAAGGCCATAGTACACACGTTCCACGCCCGAAGTGTTGTAAAACAACTTTATTTGCCCCCATTGTTTTTTTTGCTAAACCTGTACCGTTTTTGCTAAACCTGTCATTGCACCTTGAAAAATCACCATGAACTGAACCTCTTTGAACACTGAGATGTCTTCTTTACAGATGCTGACCGTTCGCACAGATGCAGTGAGACTGAACTTTGACAACCCCAGTGCTGTTGAAATTAGGTTCATACGGGTGGTTGGTCGCGAAAATTGACCCATCTAACCAAGTTCCACGCCATACATGTTCCATGACACACACGTTCCACGTCACAAACTTTCCATGGCACACACGTTCCACGTCACACACGTTCAATGGCACACACGTTGCACAACAAATACGTTCCATGGCACACAGGTTCCACGTCACACACGCTCCATGGCAGACACGTTCCATGGCACACTCGTTCCTCGCCACACACGTTCCATTGCACACACGTTCCATAGCACACACGTTCCACGTCACACACGTTCCATGGCATACACGTTCCACGTCACACACGTTCCATGGCACACACGTTTCATGGCACACACGTTCCACGTCACACACGTTCCACGTTTCACACTTTCTATGGAACACACGTTCCACGTCACACACGTTCAATGGCACACACGTTCCAAGGCACACAGGTTCCACGTCACACACGCTCCATGGAACACACGCTCCATGTCACACACGTTCCATGTCACACACGTTCCACAACACCTACGTTCCATAGCACACACGTTCTCTGGCACACACGTTCCATAGCACACACGTTCAATGGGATACACGTTCCACCTCACACACGTTTCATGGCACACACGTTCCACGTCACACACTTTCTATGGAACACACGTTCCGAGTCACACACGTTCAATGGCACACACGTTCCATATCACACATGTTCCACAACACATACGTTCCAAGGCACACACGTTCCACGTCACACACGTTCCATGGTCACGCACGTTCCACGGCACACTTCGTTCCATGGTACACATACGTTCCATAGCACACAATAATAATTCATGCCACACACGTTCCATGGAACACACACGTTCCATGTCACACACGTTCCACGTCACACACGTTCCATGGCACAAACACGTTCCACAACACATACGTTCCATGGCACACACGTTCCATTCACACGTTCACACACACACGTTCCATGGCACAAACGTTCCACGTCACACACGTTCCATGGCACACACGTTCCATGGACCACACGTCTCCACGTCACAATCCACGTTCCACACTTTCTATGGAACACATACGTTCCATGGTCACACACGTTCAATGGCACACACGTTCCACACACACGCGTTCCATGGCACACACGTTCCACGTCACACACACGTTCCATGGCACACAATGGCACACTCGTTCCTCGCCACACACGTTCCATTGCACACACGTTCCATAGCACACACGTTCCATCGGATACACGTTCCACCTCACACACGTTTCATGGCACACACGTTCCACGTCACACACTTTCTATGGAACACACGTTCCACGTCACACACGTTCAATGGCACACATGTTCCATGTCACACACGTTCCATGGCACACACGTTCCACAACACATACGTTCAATGGCACACACATTCCACGTCACACACTTTCTATGGAACGCACGTTCCACGTCACACACGTTCAATGGCACAAACGTTCCAAGGCAGACAGGTTCCACGTCAAACACGCTCCATGGCACACACGTGCCATGACACACACGTTCCATGGCACACACGTTCCACAACATATACGTTCCATGGCACACACGTTCCTCGTCACACACGTTCCATTGCACACACGTTCCATCGGATACACGTTCCACGTCACACACTTTTCATGGCACACACGTTCTACGTCACACACTTTCTATGGAACACACGTTCCACGTCACACACGTAGCATGGCACACACGTTCTACGTCACACACGTTCCATGGCACACTCGTTTCACGTCACACACGTTCCATGGCACAAACGTTCCTCGCCACACACGTTCCATGGTACACACAATCCATGGACCACACGTTCCACGTCACACACGTTCCATGGTACACACGTTCCATGGCACACACGATCCATGATACACACAATCCACAACACATACGTTCCATGGCACACACGTTCCACGTCACACACGTTCCCTGGCACACACGTTCTACGTCACACACGTTCCATGGCACACACGTTCTACGTCACACACGTTCCATGGCACACTCGTTTCACGTCACACACGTTCCATGGCACAAACGTTCCTCGCCACACACGTTCCATGGTACACACAATCCATGGACCACACGTTCCACGTCACATACGTTCAATGGCACACACATTCCACGTCACACACTTTCTATGGAACGCACGTTCCACGTCACACACGTTCAATGGCACAAACGTTCCAAGGCAGACAGGTTCCACGTCAAACACGCTCCATGGCACACACGTTCCATGACACACACGTTCCATGGCACACACGTTCCACAACATATACGTTCCATGGCACACACGTTCCTCGTCACACACGTTCCATGGCACACACGTTCCATCGGATACACGTTCCACGTCACACACGTTCCATGGCACACACGTTCTACGTCACACACTTTCTATGGAACACACGTTCCACGTCACATGGCACACACGTTCTCTACATCACACACGTTCCATGGCACACACGTTTCACGTCACACACGTTCCATGGCACAAACGTTCCTCGCCACACACGTTCCATGGTACACACAATCCATGGACCACACGTTCCACGTCACACACGTTCCATGGTACACACGTTCCATGGCACACACGATCCATGATACACTGATCCACAACATACGTTCCATGGCACACGTTCCATGTCACACACACGTTCTCGGCACACACGTTCCACGTCACACACGTTCCATGGCACACACGTTCCACGTCACACACGTTCCATGGCATACCAGCCGTTCCACGTCACACACGTCACGTCTCGTTCCATGGCACACACGTTCCATGGTACACACAATCCATGGACCACACGTTCCACGTCACACACGTTCCATGGTACACACGTTCCATGGCACACACGATCCATGGTACACACGATCCACAACACATACGTTCCATGGCACACACGTTCCACGTCACACACGTTCCATGGCACACACGTTCTACGTCACACACGTTCCATGGCACACACGTTCTACGTCACACACGTTCCATGGCACACTCGTTTCACGTCACACACGTTCCATGGCACAAACGTTCCTCACCACACACGTTCCATGGTACACACTATCCATGGACCACACGTTCCACGTCACACACGTCCCATGGTACACACGATCCATGGCACACTCGTTCCACGTGACACACGCTTTATGGGACACTCGTTCCACGTCACACACGTTCCTCTCCACACACGTTCCATGGCACACTCGTTCCACGTCACACACGTTCCATGGTACACACGTTCCATGGCACACGCCGTCACTATATGGCTGAGATATTGCCGATTTGACGTTAAATATTAAATCACTGACTCAATGGCACACGCGTTCCACGTCACGCACGTTCCACGTCACACATGTTCCTCTTCACACACGTTCCATGGCACACACGTTCCAAATCACACACGTTCCATGGTACACACGTTCCATGGCACACCCCGTCACTATATGGCTGAGATATATGGCCGATGTGACTTTATATATTAACTCATTCACTCCATGGTACACGCGTCCATGGTACACACGTTCCATGGCGCACACTTTCCAGGAACACACGTTCTATGGTACACACGTTCCATATTACACACATTTCATGGCACATGCGTTCCATGCCACACGCGTTCCAGGGAACATACGTTTCATGGCAAACACGTTCCACGTCACACACGTTCCAAGGCATACACGTTCCATGGCACTCACGTTCCACGTCACGCACGTTCAACATCACACACGTTCCATGGCACACACGTTTCATGACACACACGTTCCACGTCACATATGTTCCATAGCACACACGTTCCATGTTACACACGTTCCACGTCACAAACATTCCATGGCACACACGTTCCACGTCACACACGTTTCATGGCACAACGTTCCACAACACATACGTTCCATTGCACACACGTTCAACGTCACACACGTTCAACGTCACACACGTTCTACGTCACACACGTTCCATGGCACACTCGTTTCACGTCACACACGTTCCATGGCACACACGTTCCTCGCCACCCACGTTCCATGGCACACACGTTCCATGGTACACACGATCCATGGACCACACGTTCCAAGGCAAACACGTTCCATGGTACACACGTTCCACGTCACACACGTTCCATGTCACACATGTTCCTCTCCACACACGTTCCATGGTACACACGTTCCATGGCACACACCGTCACTATATGGCTGAGATATTGCCGATGTGACTTTAAATATTAATTCACTCACTCCATGGCACACGCGTTCCATGGGTACACACGTTCCACGTCATACACGTTCCATGTTACACACGTTTCATGGCACACACGTTCCAAGTCACTCACGTTTCACGGTACACACGTTCCACGTCACAGACGTTCAATGGCACCCACGTTCCATTACTACCCACGTTGCATGTTACACACGGTCCACGTCACGCACGTTCCATGTCACACACGTTCCATGGTACACACGGTCCACGTCACACACGTTCCATGGCACACACGTTCCATGGCACACATGTTCCACGTCACACACATTCCATGGTACACACATATAACAGAGGTATTCGTATATGGTAGTCCAATGAAGACGAACACTTGTGTAGGTTTTCAGGGATTTATTCTGACTCCCAGTAACAAAACGCCCTGAATAATAAAATATCGATCAATTAATACATGTCTCTTGTAATGAAATACGTATCAAGTTATACATTCAAATCGTTACCGCTATACTATTAGTACATCTGATAACTGTCAAGCATCCATATTTAAGCAAAGACATGTACTCTGATTATCACTCACATATATAACAATTATAATTACTAATATTTACAATCACATTCTGCAAAAAATACCTCACCTCGTCTCGGGGACGCAGGCGGAATAGGCCAACAGCTAATGAAACATTTCATTCTCAGTGAACCTAAATAAACAAAATATTGCCTAAGTATACTGCTAGTATATGCAGATATACGTCCTAAATGGCATAACCGTACACATCAATAGTTATTTACTCTAACACGTACAAAAATATGCATATAGAAACTAGACATTATAATAAACATGCATGATACAC